GGATTTATAGTCAAGCTATGTAGCTCTGCTTGGTAAGAGAAGTCCCTCAGCTCCCACCCTCTGGGAAGCAGCAAAATGTGCCGTCCTTTCTCTGATGCGGTTCTTACTCTCGCCCCCTTTTGGCCCACATCTACGCATCCTAATTGTCAAATTTGTCTCTTCCAGAATCCAACAGTTTCATGTAAAGGTGATGATTATGCAGAGGTTCCAGTCACTACCAACGGCTGGTGATGAACTTCTAGCTTCTCCAATGGAACCTCTAGATCAGTTAGCAAGGGATTTCCATTCCCTGGTTAGGCAGGGACAATGCCAACAACGCATGAAGAATTTACAAAGCTGAAGCTTCCTCCCTTCACTACTCATAAAGATTACAGGATGAAAATTTTGGAGTAGAGAGACTACTGACTGCATCCCCTCAATAGACTATCCAGCTGTAATATCATTATAATAAAATTACAATGGCTGACACTCCCACTCTCATCATGCACCTGACACATGACATTTTTGAGTCTTCCACAAAGACAAGGAGATGCGTGCTACTCAAACCACATCCACTATGACTATTTGTGGGGAGCAACTCGGACTAGACTAAGTTACTGGAATTAAGACTTATTCTATGCATCTGCTCTCCCACAATATGGCGCTGAGAAGGGAGAAACAGCTTCTACACAGCTGCCTCCAGTTCAACCAATAAACTGTAGGACTTACTCCTGATTGGAGGAGAGCAGCGTACTCGGCGTGTGGGTAGCAGAGTTGGGATTGGCGGAAGAGGACTATAAAGGAGGAGAGAGACAACATGCACCAGGAACATCTATCTGAAGGAACACCTGTGCAGCCCCCAAGAGAGCCGGCCGGCGGTATGCCGCTCCCCCGCGGAAGTGGGGAAGGTGGCAGGGGGAACTGCCCTTCCACGGAGGTGGAAGGGTTGGTAGCCAACCCGGGAAGAACCAGCAGCAAACCCGGGGAGGGCCGAGCAGACAAAAGAACAGCGCAGGGTTCTGTGTTGTTCCTCCACGAAGACGGGGAGCGACAACTATTCAATAAAACTCTGCCTCAGATACCATCACCTATGCCTCTAGATAACATAAAGGAGTCATTCCAATTCTTGGTTGGTATAGCTCACTCTCAAGCTTGCCTATATTCCCTCTTGACTGAGTATTTTTACTCTGCATGTAAATAAATCGTAGTCCCCTCCTAACCTTTACTTATATCCCATCCTTGAATACTTTCTTGTGTTGCAGGAAGAACCTGGACCCAGTCCTCCCATGTTAAATGGATGAATGGTTAAACAACCTGGTACATGCATACCACAGAATGTTACTGCTTGGTCTGAAGGTTCCCCCCGTCCCCCACCTTGCCAAGTTCTCAGCCTCCAGAAGTAAAAGAAATAAATTTCTTTTATATGGATATTTTGTTATAGTGGCCCAGGCAGTCTAAGACAGCTAACTCAGCATTAATGAGGATAAGTGATGAATATACCACACAAATGGAATGGACCTCAAGGAAATTACACTGCATTTAAAAAGAAAAAGCCAATCTCAAAAAAATACATAACGTATGTGAAATAACATAATGATAGACATGGAGAAACAGATTAGAAATCACTAGAACTTAGAGATTGGGGAGAGGGATAACATAAGGGAGCCTTCTGATAATGAAAGCGCTGAGTTTCCTGACTGTGGTGGTCATTTATGCAAGGGTACACAATTGATAAAACTGTGTAGAGCTACATACATACATTCACACACACACACAAATTTACATATAAGACTGTTATATAATTGGTGAAATATAAATAAACTACTACTTGTGCCAATGCCAATTTCCTGGTGTTGCTACCATGGCTATGTGAGATATTAATATTGGAGAAAATGAAGAAAAGGTACACAGGACCTCTTGGTACATTTCTTTGTAACTTTTCATAAAACTATAACTATTTCAAAATAGAATGTTAAAGGAAAGTAAGAATAAAATACAAAACACTTAAAATTAAGCTCAAATCAATCAATAATCAAAATAAAAAGGAACCTCACTCTTTACTAGATAAAAATGATCATCTTAGATTAAAAAGAACAAAATTCAGTTGTGTTGCCTACAAAAATTATGACTAAAATTACCAAAAAAGTGGGAAAAAAAGAGTGAAAAAACAGTGTACCATGTAAGTAATAACTCAAAGAAAACAGTTACCAACATCAAAATAAAATTTAAGACAAAAATTAATTATCAAGAAGAAAGAGGAAAACTATACAATGTCAAAAACAAGTCACCAAGAAAACATGAAACACTATACACATAAGACTTTAAATATTTGGCAAAAACTTGTAGAACTACAGGAATGATGAACAAATCCATAATTACAGAAGACAAACACGCCTCTCTAACTGAAACTGAGGAAAAAGAAAAAAAAATGTAGTAAGGATACAGACCTCCATATTTGCTTACTTATCTACCTGAATGTCCAACAGCATCTTAAACTTAACGTGCCCAAACATGTCTCCTCAAGATTGCTCCTCCCACCCTTTTCTCTTTTTTTATTCTGATTCCTCAAGCTGACAAACTTGTGAATTATATGTAGCTCTTTTCTCTTTTGCATACAATCTAGTCTCAATCCTATTGTTCTATCTTCAAAATATATCCACAATCTGACCACATCTCACCATCTCCATTGCTCTCATTCTGGTCCAGGTTGCCATTCTCTCTCCTAAATTATTTCAATGCTTTCCACCCCAAGTTACTGTTTCCATCCTGGCCTCAGAAACTGGAATGTTCCATAGTATATATGAGTTTATAATTCTCTATTGGGTCTTCATTGCATTCAAAGAAGGAGACCCTCCAGATCTTCCAAATTACATGATGCAGCTTCCCCTCATTCCTCAAACCCTTCCTCTGATCCCCTCTCCATCATTCACTCTACATTAGCCCTGCTGGACTTCTGTTACTTTTTAAAAGTTGATTTATTTAGTTAGTAGAAAGGCAGACCTACAGAGAAAGGAAGTGGGAGGGTGAAGGAGAGGGAGACAGAGATCTTTCCTCAAATGCTTGCAGCAGCCAGGACTGGGCCAGGCCAAAGCCAGGAGCCAGGAACTCCATCCTGGTCTCCCAAGTGAATGACAGGGGTCCAGGTATTTGGACCATCCTCTGATGCCTCCCCAGTTGCATTCGCAGAAAGCTGGACTGTAAGCAGAGTAGCCAGAACTTGAATCAGCTCTCTGATATGGGATGCCAGCATTGCAAGTGGTAGCTTATCCCACCTGTGCCACAATGCTGGCCCCAACAAGGCTGGATTTGTTGCTACTCCTCTGACACATCCACAGTGTACCTCAGAGCTTCCACACTTTGGTTCTCTTTGCCTGGAACTTTCTACCTCCATAAAGCCATATAGCCTACTCTCTCATTTCCTATCTTCATTCCAATGTCATCTTCTTTAACAAACTTATTAAAAAAATTTTTTTGGGACAGGCAGAGTTAGACAGTGAGAGTCAGAGAGAGAGAGACAGAGAGAGAGAGACAGAGAGAAAGGTCTTCCTTTCCATTGGTTCACCCCGTAAATGGCCACTACGGCTGGCGCGCTGCGCCGATCCGAAGCCAGGAGCCAGGTGCTTCCTCCTGGTCTCCCATGAGGGTTCAGGGCCCAAGCACTTGGGCCATCCTCCACTGCACTCCCTGGCCACAGCAGAGAGCTGGACTGGAAGAGGAGCAACTGGGACAGAATCTGGTGCCCCAACCGGGATTAGAACCTGGGGTGTCGGCATTGCAGGCAGAGGATTAGCCAAGCGAGCTATGACGCCGGCCCAAACCTATTATAATTGCAACTACTGTCTTCATTCTTTATCCCTCACTCCATCCTATTTTTCTCCCTAACCACTTTTTATAATCTAATACTGTGCGTGTTATTTATTTTTCTAGTCTATCTCCCCCATCTTTCACTATTATTATATAAACACCATAAAGGAAGGGAATCTTGTTCATCTTCTTAACTGTACTTTTATCAGTGTATTTGAATTTTATTTATTATTAAATGCACTTGAAAGAAAGAGAGGAAGAGAGACAAAGAGCTGCCATCCACATATTCACTTCCCAACAGCCCATGATAGCTGGGCTGGGCCAAGGATTGGGCACCAGAGCTAGGAAGTGAATCCAGGTACTCCAATGTGGAACATGGATGTCTTAATCACTAGGTCAAATATAAGCACCTGAAATTTTTTAAGGATCTCACAAGCACAAATATGAGACCAATTTTGTATATTTAGGGCAGCTTTTTATAATTCTTTGATTTAACCCTTACAGCTATGTTACTGGTTTTGAATTCTCATTTCCTTTTTATTTTGAAACTGAGAATAAGGTAGGTCTAACCAGTCATCCAATAATTAGAAAATGCAGACTCCTATCTGCAACATCCAAGGCTCTTCTTTCATTCCTCAGAACTGAAGCACAAAGGCTGGTGGTTATAATGATAAAGCAAGAATCAGGAACAAGCAGACTCCACTGCTGGAGACACCCACTGGTTTCTCCCATCTATGCAAAGAAATGTGTCCTACTCTGACCTCAGGGCATTCTCAGTGCTTTGATGTGCTTTTCAGACTTAGTTCCCATACAGCTACGTCTAGGGATTCAACCCTCCCATAAATGGAATCTTCAACATTGCAAGATCAACTCTGTTCTCTAGCCAAGCGCAGATACCCCATTGATCAAAATTTAGACCTTGTAAAGATGGTGGGAGAAGCATAGTGTCTACCATGTGCCCTATTCTCTATGGAGCCTTTGTTAATTTGTTTTTCTCAATCAGCTGAAGTTTTATGTCATTTCATTTGCTACGCCCCTCACCCTGTGAGAAACGCATAAATTGTGCATACCATGTACAAAGTCAATCATATACATAGAGTACAATAAGTACAGCCCCACCCACCTCCCAACACATGAAGAAATATCCTCTGGTCACATCATTCTTTCATTTTCTCACAGTGTGCATCAAACAAAATGGGTCTCTTAACACCATTTACCTCTAGTATTTTGTCTCCGGTTTTCAGTGCGTTGGTTTTTCCTGCTGGGCTGTCTTCTAAGACTTGTTTGATGAATATACCTTTAAGCTCTTCTCCATTCTTCAGGCGTTTTATCACGGTCTGTCCACCAACAATACTGATGCCAAGAGACACATTGGGTTCTCTAAAAATTTCAACACTTTAAAGAGAAGAAAAAAAAACTTTCTCATGAACAGCTTAATTTAATTTGTGGGACTGTCAATGTATATTTTGATTTGTACTATAGTCCTGGGGTCCATATTTTATAAAAATAAATTTTCAAATGTGTGTTTTTACAGATGCTACAGAAATTTAACCTAGTTCCAAAATCACAAGATATTATCAATAATTCATGACATGTGAAAGTGTGAACCCTGACAATGATCACTTTCTAAAACAATATATGATAATATTTTTTATTATTTATTTATTTATTTTTTTGACAGGCAGAGTGGACAGTGAGAGAGAGAGACAGAGAGAAAGGTCTTCCTTTGCCGTTGGTTCACCCTTCAATGGCCGCCGCGGCTGGCGCGCTGCGGCCGGCGCACCGCGCTGATCCGATGGCAGGAGCCAGGAGCCAGGTGCTTATCCTGGTCTCCCATGGGGTGCAGGGCCCAAGCACCTGGGCCATCCTCCACTGCACACCCTGGCCACAGCAGAGAGCTGGCCTGGAAGAGGGGCAACCGGGACAGAATCCGGCGCCCCAACGAGGACTAGAACCCGGTGTGCCGGCGCCGCTAGGCGGAGGATTAGCCTAGTGAGCCGCTGCGCTGGCCCAATATATGATAATATTAAGAAAAAATTTAGCTAGACCTTAAAGTTCTGATTCCTACCACAGTATGTTTTCAGTGGTCCATTTCATTTATATCTGAAACTGTAGCAAAAAGTGACATGAGGAAATAATAAGCAGGCAGAAAAAAAAGTCTAGAAAGCTAGGTATGTCATTCTAGTAAAAGCACAGACATTCAGAATAAAATAAATGGGTCGCTTTTCTTTGTTGGGAGGGCCTTTATTACTGTTTCAATTTCTGTCTCAGTTATGGGTCTGTTTAGGTTTTCTATGTCTTTCTGGTTCAATTTAGGTAGGTTGCATGTGTCTAGGAATCTACCCATTTCTGATAGGTTTCCCTGTTTGCTGGCATACAAGTCCTTGTAGTAATTTCTGATGATTCTTTTTCTTTCTGTGGTGTCTGTTGTTATGTTTCCTTTTTCATCTCTGATTTTATTGATTTGGGTGTTTTCTCTTCTTTTTTTAGTTAGTTGGGCCAATGGGGTGTCAATTTTGTTTATTTTTTCAAAAAACCAGCTCCTCGTTTGGCTGATTTTTTGTAATTTTTTTAATTCAATCATGTTGATTTCTTCTCTGATTTTAATTATTTCTCTTCTCCTACTAGATTTGGGTCTCGTTTGCTGTAGATTTTCTAGATCCTTGAGATGCATTGAAAGCTCATCTATTTGGTGCTTTTCCACTTTCTTGATGTAGGCACCTACTGATATAAACTTTCCTCTTAACACTGCTTTTGCTGCGTCCCATAAGTTTTGGTATGTTGTGCTGTTATCCTCATTTACTTCCAGAAAATTTTTGATTTCTCTTTTAATTTCTTCTATGACCCATTGTTCATTCAGGAGCATGTTGTTCAATCTCCATGTGTTTGCATATGCTCTAGGGATTCCTGAGTTGCTAATTTCCAACTTCATTCCTTTATGGTCTGAGAAGCTGCATAGTATGATTCTAATTCTTTTGAATTTGCTGAGACTTGCTTTATGGCCTAGTATGTGGTCAATCCTAGAGAAGGTTCCATGTACTGCTGAGAAGAATGTAAATGCTTTATATGTAGGATGAAAAGTTCTGTAGATAGATATCTAACTTAGATCCATTTGGGCTATAGTGTCATTTAAATCTACTGTCTCCTTGTTGATCTTCTGTCCTGTTGATCTGTCTATTTCTGAGAGTGGAGTATTGAAGTCCCCCAGTACTACTGTATTGGGGTCTAAGTCTCCCTTTAAGTCCCTTAACAAATCTTTTAAATAAACCGGTGCCCTGTAGTTAGGTGCATATACATTGATAATTGTTATATCTCCCTGTTGAATTGATCCCTTAATCCTTTTATAATGCCCCTCTTTGCCTCTCTTAACAGTTTTTGTGTTAAAGTTTATGTTATCTGATATTAAGATGGCTACACATGCTCTTTTTTCATTTCTGTTGGCATGGTATATCTTTTTCCAGCCTTTCACTTTCAGTCTGTATGGATCTTTGTTGGAAAGATGTGTTTCTTGTAAACAGCAAATAGATGGGTTTTGTTCCTTAAGCCAATCAGCCAATCGGTGTCTTTTAACTGGACAGTTCAGGCCATTAACGTTCAATGTGACTATTGATAAGTGGTAACTTTGCCCTGCCATTTGCCAAAGATATTTTCTAATATATGCTTTGAATTCCCTGTGATCTTTTGCTGTGAGGTTTCTTTCCTTTACCTTCTTTCTTATTGATGACCGTGTTTCTGTATTTCTGTGTGCAACACATCTTTAAGCATCTTTTGCAGGGCTGGACGAGTGGTGACAAATTCTTTCAATTTCTATTTGCTATGAAAGGTCTTTATTTCACCTTCATTCACAAATGAGAGCTTTGCAGGATATAGTGGAAAGAACGGGGCCATCAAAGGAGGTAACTTTCTCTGAAGGGAGGAGAGAACTTCCACTTTGACTATGACCCTGTCTGAATAAGATCAAAGTCGGTGAACTCAAAAGGCTTCCATAGCCTTGGCAACTCATGACTAGAGCCTAGGGAGATTACTGACGCCATAAACAAGAGTGTCAAATTGTTAAGTCAACAACAGGAGTCACTGTGTATTTACTTCTCATGTGGGATCTGTCCTTAGTGTGTTGTCCAATGTGAAGTAATGCTATAACTAGTACCGAAACAGTATTTTACACTTTGTGTTTCTGTGTGGGTGCAAACTGATGAAATCTTTACTTAATATATACTAAATTGATCTTCTGTATATAAAGATAATTGAAAATGAATCTTGATGTGAATCGAATGGGAGAGGGAGTGGGAGATGGGTGGGGTGTGAGTGGGAGGGAAATTCGGGGGGGGGAGCCATTGTAATCCGTTAACTGTACTTTGAAAATTTATATTTACTAAATAAAATATAAATAAAAAAATAAAATAAATGGGTCGCTAAGCGGCTCCTTGGCAAAGCTGCTCCACTCATTCAGCAGGTTTAATGTGTGCTGCTTTAATCAGGGGGCATATTTTATCTGTGTCTAAAGCTAGAAGGGTTCCCGCCAGCTCAATGTCATTTTTAAAAACAAATCACAGAATGAAACTTGCCCCTCAAAACATGGATTTTGCTTAAACACACCCTTTAAGATATTATGGATTTTACTTAAACTGCAGAGATGCGGCCAATCATTAACTGAAATAAAAAAAGTTACTCAGTTTTAAGACAGATCTCAGAATTCAGTTGCAAGAAAAGAACAGAGTAGGTGAGGCTGCTGGAATTAATAATGCACACAGAATAGAGAGCACAGCTACACGAAGACTTTTATAATCTTCAAGTGCAGCCCTGGTAAGTACTTACAACTACAGCCACACCCAAAGGACGATAGGTTCAATATACTCTGTGTGCCTCACAAAGGCACAAACTTGGACTCCTTACCAGGTAAAGATGCAAACTGAGATACAACAGAAATCTCAACTACTGTTGTTATTTTAAAAACAAGGAGCTTCACTGCCCTCCCTGCAGCCCTACCTGATGCGCTTGCAGTGATAAACCATTCTTTGTCCATCATTTGCTACCACAGTGGACATCTGGGAACTGTGTTTTCTGAAAGAGGTTTTTCTAATAGTGCTCCTAGTCTTTTATGTCTGGCTAAAAATCTCTAGGTAAGATAAAATAAAACTAGAATTGAGGCCTACCTATACCTGAATTCCTGCAATCTGCCAATCATAACAGTGTAACTAAATGCTACGTATACTAAGTTAAAGAAAAAAGTAACTGACTCTTTCGCTATTTGAGAAAGCTAGTAAATTATGTCATCCACATACATTCTTGGTGGACCCCAGTGGCTGAAGTTCGGAGTTTCTTCTCCTTCACCTTCTTCTCTTTCAGGTAACTCACTGAGAAGAGAGAAAGAAAAAAAATGCACAGCACTTATAAGACATATTCGTACTGTTAAAGGTTCTTGGAAAGTTTGAAAATCGCACAATCTATAGGAAAATACTTAATTTGGAATCTTAAAAAATATTTATATCAATAAATGTACCAAACAAAAATATATTGCTTTAACAGTCTACTCAACAAATTCCCAAAAAAGTAGTGGAAAATCACAGAATTATCAAAAGCTTTTCTTGGTGACCCACTAATGCTGTTTTCTAAAAATTTGTGCTTATCTTTTCTAACTTCACATTTCTCTACCAGTTTATAAAATATATAAAACTTGTTATTGACTCGCTAAGAGAATAGTCCAGTCCATAAAGATATAAACAAGTAAGTATGATTCTTCTAGATTTTTTAAAATATTTATTTATCTGAAAGGCACAGTTACAGATAGGCAGAGGCAAAGGTGGGGGAGTCTTCCATCTGCTGTTTCACTCCACAAATGGTCATAACAACAGAGCTGAGCCAATCCGAAGCCAGGAACGAGGAGTCTCCTCCGGGTCTCCCAGCGGGTGCAGGGGCCCAAGGAGTTGGCCATTCTCCACTGCTTTCCCAGATCATAGCAGAGAGCTGGATCAGAAATGGAGCAGGCAGGACTGGTGCCCATATGGGATGCCGGGACTGCAGGCAGCAGCCTCACTCACTACACTACATTCTTTCTAGATTTTTAAGTCATTCTAAATGTAATTAATTCCCATCATTCCTATCCCTTGAATATTTGGTGTAGTTTAACAGTACTTTCCAGTTTACAGAGAGATTTAATTATATTATCTAATTTGATTCTTGATCCCTCCTATCTACCACCAGCATATTTTCACCTAAAGAAATTTGGAACTTGATAAAACGCCAAATTACAAAGTAACTAGTTACAAGAGTAAAATGATCTAAAAAGGGTACAGAGATTACCAAAAAGTATCTAGAAAAGGAGAAAGGATTCCTAACTTAAGTCTAACCTGTGCTATGTAATAGGTATATGACTTTGGAGTGTCAAAATGAATGTGTGTGATTAATATAAATCATATTCTTTTACTAAAAAATACAGATACCACATCTTGTATTTTTATAAAAGTCCTTTGATGTAAGCAGAGGAATGGAGGTCCAGAGAAGGCTCAGACAAACCACTCTCAGCACTTTTCTACATGTGCCTGAATCTTTGCTTTAGTACATTTCAACGTTCCATTTGTCTCTAAACTCTCACTTAAGTCCTGCAAAAACAAGCAAAACTACCATCTGCTTGCCTCTCTTCAGACTTGTTAGGATACAACAATCCTAAGATCATATGAAAAGGAAAAAGCCAAAAGGATCTAGACAATCCAAACATCAATTAAGAAGAAAATGAGGGGTGGGGAGAGGCAGGCATTTAGCATGGTTAAGCTGCTGCTTGGGATATCTGTATCCCATAAAAAGAACACTTGGGTTTGTGTCCAGCTCCTTTGCTTCAGATCCAGCTTTCTGCTAATATGCATCATGAGAGATAGCATAGTACTTGGGTGCCTGCCACCCACATGGGAATTTCAGGCTCCTGCTTTTAGCCTGTCCCAGCCCTAGCTGTTGTGTGCATCTGTGAATCAGTAAATGGAAAGGATTCATTCTCATTCTCTCTCCTTCTCTCCCCCCTCCCTTTCAAATAGAATGAGAAATAAATTTCAAAAGAAAAAAATTAGTATCATTAACATCTCACCCACTACCAATAAGATCTTTCTTACCTTAGCCAGTCTAATTTTTATGATTAAAAGTATTATTGTAGTCAGGGAAAAACAACTTGGCAGATACTTGTTGGCTACTTGTTTAATGTATCTTCTCTTCTTTACCAATATAATCCATCTTTTATTCTAGGTAGTTCTATGCTCAGCCTTGAAAAAGTACATATCTCGGATTTCCTTTAAGCTAATGGTAAATATGTGCCATAGTTCTGATGAGTGATATGGAATCTAAAGTCCCTGGATGAGATTTCTAGGAAAACTCACAAAGAGAGGGACAGTCATCTGGCAGGAAGCTTTTGCACTGTGCCTTCTTTTTCTTGTCTAGAATGCAAGAGGTCCAGATGGTGAGATAGTCATCTGCAAATACTGAAGAAACAATGAGGACTAAAGCCATCCAAGGACAGCAGAGCAGCAAGGAAGGTGCTGTGTAAGACCCTAGAGACAAGGTGGTTCCAAGATGGCGGAATAGGGAGGGAGCTTACTGATAGTCCAGGAGAAGATAGTTTAATAAAAGTGGAGATAGTGTGGTCTCAGGGAAGAGTTAGGGAAAAAACATCAGAGGAATCTTCCATAATTAGAGGGACTCGGGGGACCTACGTGGAAGGCATGGGTGCCCATGGCTCAGGACTCTAGCTGCAGAGAGCCTCCGCACCAGCGCTAGAAAGTGAGGTGAGATAAAACAGCAATAGCCTGAGACGCTGATGGAAAAGAGAGAGGAAGGGTCCAGAGGGAACAAGGCTTGAAGCTCTGTGGGGGAAGTTCACCAGCCTAACTAGAGAGAAAAAATAAAAGGGACGGTATGGACACGATTCTCTCTCTCCAAACACCTTACAAAGGTGTATGAGCCGAAAACACGAGCCGATTGTACAAGCCAATCGAGCAGACACCATTCTGGACGTATGTAACAACTGCGCCAGCTCGGGGCTGTGCATGGCAATCAGCCAAGCAGAGCAACCTGACTCTGCTGGGGAGTAATTACAGGCGGCTGAGATCTAGTGAATGTGTGGAACCTCTGAACCGGGACTGTGGGAAAAAACAAAAACAAAAATAAAAACAAAACAAACAAAAAAAACCTGAGGGTATGTGGCAGAACTCACAGTGTGGCTGACACTTGAGTACTCTCTGTGAGAGATGCCACAAGCTCAGGCGGCCCTGGCTACCCGGTGAGAGACACTGCAGGGGAATCAGAGATTAGAGGACTGCACAGATTCTTTGTGTGGTTCTTGGGACAGAGCAAACGAATACTATACCCACTGGGGCTAGCAATCAGGTACTCATCGCCGTGGAGAAGAGCTCAGCTGAGTAGAACTACTTCACTTCTGATTAAAAAACAAAGAGAGAAAGAGAAAGAGAGAGAGAGAGAGAGAGAGAGATTTACCATGCCAAACCTGGGTGGGTCACCTTAGGCACACCCTTAACCCTGAAGAACTGAACAGAGCTCTCTGGCCACACCCACCACAAGCCTCCAGAGATTCACTGAAAGCAGACAGTCCACTTATCTACAGAGTCAAAGTACAACTAGAAAAGCCGCCACAATGAGGGGGAGAAAAGAGGAAACCAACGAGTATCTCCACAAATGCTGAACAGCAAACACCACAACTGAAGAAACAAGAATAAGGAAGAAAACATGACACTCCCAAAAGAACATGACACTTCAATACAGATAATGAAGATGATGAGCTAGAAGAAATGCAAGACATAGAATGCAAAAAATTGAAAGAATATTTAGAAGTGATAAAAAAAAAAACTGCACGAACTATTGAAATCCATGCAGGACATGAAAGGTAATCTCTCTCAGGAAAATGAAATCTTAAGGAGGAATCAAAATGAAATGAGGAATTCAAGAGAACATGAAATTGAGATATTGAAAACAAAATGAAATGAAGAATTCAATAGAACAAATAAAAAACACAGTTGAGAGCCTTAAGAACAGAAATCAGTGATGCAGAAGAGAGAATATCAGACTTACAATGCAGAGCACAGGAAAGTATACAGTCAAACCAAAGAAAAGAAGAGGAAATTAGAAATCTAAAAAATACTGTTGGGAATCTGGCAGGCTCCATGGCTCAATAGGCTAATCTTCCACCTGTGGTGCCGGCACACCAGGTTCTAGTCCCGGTTGGGGCGCCGGATTCTAGCCCAATCACTCCTCTTCCTGTCTGGCTCTCAGCTGTGGCCTGGGAGTGCAGTGGAGGATGGCCCAAGTGCTTGGGCCGTGCACCTGCATGGGAGACCAGGAAAAGCACCTGGCTCCTGGCTTTGGATCAGCGTGGTGCACCGGTTGCAGTGCGCCGGCCATGGCAGCATTTGGGGGGTGAACCAATGGACAAGGTAGACCTTTCTCTCTGTCTCTCTCTCTGTCCACTCTGTCAAACAAACAAACAAACAAACAAACAAAAAAACATATTGTTGGGAATCTATAGGATAATATTAAAAAAACCAACATTTAGGTTCTAGGAGTTCCCGAAGGCATGGAGAGGATTAGAAGAACTTTTTAGTGAGATACTAGCAGAAAACTTCCCCGGTTTGGACAGAGACATCCAAGCAGAGGAAGCACACAGAACTCCCTATAAACATGATCAGAAAAGATCCTCACCACGACACATTGTAATCAAACTCAGCACAGTGAAACATAAAGAAAAGATTCTAAAACGTACAAGAGAGAAATCCCAGATTACTCTCAGAAGATCTTCAATTAGACTCACAGCAGACTGCTCATCAGAAACCCCACAGGCTAGGAGGGAATGGCAAGATATAGCCCAAGTATTAAGAGAAAAAAAATGCCATCCAAGAATATTATATCCTGCAAAGCTCTCATTTGTGAATGAAGGTAAAATAAAGACCTTTCATAGCAAACAGAAATTGAAAGAATTTGTCATCACTTGTCCAGCCGTGCAAAAGATACTTAAAGATGTGTTACACACAGAAACAAAGAAACACAGTCATCAATACAAAAGAAGGTGAAGGAAGAAAATCTCTCAAAAAGATCACAGGAAGTTCAAAGTATATATTAGAAATGTTTTTGGAAAAATAGCAGGGAAAAGCCACTACTTATCAATAGTCACACTGAATGTAAATGGCCTCAACTCTCCAGTTAAAAGACACAGACTGGCTGAATGGATTAAGGAACAAAACCATCTATTTGCTGTTTACAAGAAACACATCTTTCAAGCAAAGGTACATGCAGACTGAAAGTGAAAAGTTGGAAAAAGATATTCCATGTCAACAGAAACCAAAAAAGAGCTGGCGTAGCCATC